GCACGCATGGATTCATCCATATCCATCCTTTTGTTTCTTTACCTGCTCATTCATGATTATATTCAAAGAAAAAACAAGTTACAATTGGAAATCATTCACTTGAGGACTCCCACCTGTGTTGTCATGTCAGGACTTGGTCAGCACATTTATAAGATGTAACAGCGTCCATGACACACTGCTACTCCTATGATAATGCACTGTCAGTTGTGGACTTCAATATTATGGGGGATAAAAAAGGAGAATCCTCTAAAAACATAAACTTCAGAGGTTACTGAAGGGAGAAAAAAATCTTTAAGTCTGTGAGAAGTTTTAGGAGGATGAGATAGGATGAACAGGAGTGCCACTCAGACAAAATATCAAGTGGACCGTTATCTGATTTTTTTTTTCTCTTTCCAATATTACATGTCCAGTCAACACCCGGGGGATTTTCAGTCCTTCTCATTGGATCAGATTGTAGATTTCTTTCACTTTATTTGTCCTCTTCTATTGAGCAATAGCACAATTGATGTATTGAAGTTGAAATAAGAGCCCTCGCTTGCAGAGGATGATACTTATATAATGATGTGGCCCATGCAGTCATAATAATTATAATAAACTGCTATCAACAAAATGAAAAGACAGTCGTTTAACAAAAGGACCGAGAGATGAATGGAGTTCTTTTTACATTTTGTTGTTAAGTTTCTGCCTCAACAACCCAATCTTTTCTGTGAAATAGGATTGAATTAGGAAATTTAAAAAAAAACGACATTCAGCTGTGGGTTAGAGGTCTATTGCGCTGATGAAAACCCACATGACCTGGTTTTCAGCGGATTCTGTTTTTTCAACTCTGATTTGTTGAGGTGGAACATATTTTGATCAAAACTGACTGGAAGTTTCCAAAGAAAAGAGCTGCTCAGACTTAAAGCACTGAAAACAGAACAATAAAAATAGAATTTTAAAAACATGCATGCGTGCATCAATTAATTGCCAGGAAGAAAAGTGATAAATTAAAAGAGATTTTGGACGTATTTTGGCTTTTTAAATGTTAATCTGCAGACTGTTGGGAGAACATGTACATTTTGAAGAGGATGTGAAAACAAGTGTTGCATACAGTGTTACATACTGGATTAACTATAGCACTTTTTTCTGTCATCACAGCATAAACATTTGCAGTATATAAAGCTAAAACACAAAGTATGCTAATTTCTGTTTGGTTGATCATGTCTTTATTCTAACAATTCTTCACAACATGCTAAACAGCTTATCCTACCATTGATTTGTGTTTGGGGTTGTTTAATGTGTCGATGCTTATGAAGCGGTCACACTATTATGATCCATTTTTCTTCTGTACATATTTGGCGTAATTCTCATCCCGCAGTTTTCAACTATTTGAAACAAATCATATATCAAAATGTTCAGCACTTTCAGGAGAAATGTGCATTGGCTTTTGGTTTTAGTGCAACTTTAGCGTTTTGAAATATTTAGCCTTTTATGCCACATTTTGTCTCATAGAAAATGAATTGAGCTCATTTTACCTCATTCAAATCTTTAGATCTGTTTGCAACTTTTACTGCTTCTTTCACTTTTTGTTCTGGTTCAGCTTATTTCAGCTTCTTTGTGCAAATTCAAAATTTTTTCAGCTACCCGGTAATTTCATCTGTTTTTTTTTTCAGCTGTTTTGTGCTCCTTTCAGATTCTTTCTGTTAACTACAACATTTTTCTGCTTCTTCTAACTTTTTTCCTGTTAATTTCAGCTTGTTATGCTCCTTTCAGCTTATTTCTGCAAGTTTCAGGTTTTGTACTATTTCAGCTAATATATAGCTGTTTTTATGCTAATTTAAGCTTTTTCAGCTACTTTCACATTTTTTGCACTAATTTAAATTTTTGTCAGCCTAATTCAGCAAAAATACACTCTCCATTTCCTTCTTGTAATTTCAGCTTTTTTTAATCCCCTTTAAGCTACTTTTCAGCTAATTATTGCTAATTTCAGCTTTTTTTCAGATAATTTCCACTTTTTGTGCTCATTTTTGCTTCTGTCAGCCTAATTGGGCAAACATGTTATTTCTGCTTTCTTCTGCTAATTTAAGCTTGTTCTATATTTTCAGCTAGTGTTTTAGCATTTTTAGCTTATTTCAGCTGCTTTCATATAATTTCCACTTTTTGTGCTCATTTCTGCTTCTTTCAGCCTAACTAACTTCTTTCTGCTAATTTCAGCTTGATGTGCTCCTTTCTGCTTATTTCTGCTAATTTCAGTTTTTTTTCATCTACTATTTAGCTGTTTTTTGTTAATTTTAGCCTTTTCAGCTAATGCCACATTTTTACACTCATCTCAACTTTTCTCTGCCTAATTTAGCAAAATGTGCTCTCTCTACTTCCTTCTGGTAATTTAAGATTCTGCTTTTTTAACTGCTTTTCAACTGTTTTTTTTTTGTTTGTTTGTTTTTGCAAATTTCTTTTTTTTTTTTCCGATAATTTTAACATTTTGGTGCTCATTTCTGCTTCTTTTGACAAACATGTTCTTTCTGCTTTCTTCTGCTAATTTAAGCTTAATCTTTTTCAGTTACTTTTTTGCAGTTTTTAGCTAATTTCAGCAGTTTTTCTGCAAGTTCTTCAGCAATAAGCATCCACATTGCATTTTTGCAGGAAATGCATTTTCTCTCATTGCACTATATGACTGAAGTGTGGAGAAACAGACATATTTGAATTTAGTAATTTATTAATTTAACAACCAGACCTCAGTAGCACGTGGAAGAACCATACACAGCTTTAACAGCCTGGTACCCACTGCTGTGGGATGACATCCAATTCTTCACTCAGCATTTGTCAGTAAGTCAGCCAGTGTGGTTGTGTTGGTCACTCTGAAATGAACAGCATGCCCAAGCTAATCCCATAGGTGTTCAATGGGGTTGAGGTCAGGACTGCAGGCAGGCTTTTCTGGCTTCCCCACCTCTGTATTCTAGAGGTTTTCTCTGTTAAATCCTGCACTGGAGGATGTTGTAATCTTGAAGGATAGAATTTGATCTTGAAATGTGGAGAAATGATTTTCTGGGACACCCGAAGCTCAAAACAATAGTCAAGAGCAGAATAAGTTGTTTGGCACTGGAAGAAAAGATACGATGCTTTTATGGACCAACCCACATTCTCAACTCTGCTGCTCATCCTACAAATGTGCTTTCCCTACAAATGTGGCACCATTTAGGGAGAAATAAACAGGCTTTCCAAGGATATGAGTTTTATAGCCAAAAAGCATTGTTGCAATCAAATAAATCAATAACTTTACCAAACACAAATTTTCTTACCTTTTGTGCTATGTTTATGTAATAACCAATAAAAGAATAACATTGCAAAAGAGATTAAAATTAGTAAATGTTATAATGCTAAAATCAATATCATAATGAAAATTATTATTATTATTATTAGACCTTTATTTATACAGGTTAGTTTCCATTGAGCCTCGAAGACTCGTTTATAAGAGAGATCTGTTACATACAACATACAGGCAGATGAGAAAAAGAGAACACGAGGGTGGAGGAATCCAAAATAAATCATGTCTCATACCATTTCCTGGCCAGGAAACAGTATAAAAAAATGCAACATTAAAAAAAGACCTCGCAACATAAAGCTGCAACATACAATGACATAATACATGTATGCATAGAGGTCGACAAAGGTGGTGAGTTGTCTATAAACACTCCAGAAAGTTCCCAAGTTCTGATAAGATGGTACAGTGTCTATCAGCATCAGAGCTTATAGTTTACATAACCTCTAGGAGCAATTTGAGATAAGTTGGCCTGCCCAAGGCCAGTGGGGAGGCCAAATTTAGATAAACAACAATTGTTTGGGCCGCCAGACTGTTTTCTGCCTTCAAATTCTGCTGCAACCGTGAATGCAAACAGCCAGAATTAGTGGACATTGCGCCCGGTCCTTGCTCGATTTAACATTCTCCAAGATTGAATCCTTCATGCTGGTGAGTTCCAGGAGCCTCAAGTGGCCTAGGATTCTCAGAAATCACATCTAGCTTGTGGTTAAGCTCAGTAAGCATATGAGTTTGAGAGCTTGAGACATGGATTAGTCCTTCACATAAGGCTGGCCGCTTTAACACGGCAGAAACTGCTGCCGACATCTTCCTAATTTGTCGATGTCCAAGGTATCCACCGATTCCAAAAAGCAGAAACCCTGTCATCATAAATCCAATAATGTACACATCTTCTATGTCCTCCATGGACAGCACAGATAGGCACACCATCTTCCACTCACTCCAGGAATCAATGGCATACCCATCTGCATGGGTCCATTCAGGACATGAGGGCTCTCCAGTACCCTGTCATCTGGTGGAAAAAAAAAAATCAATTGCAATTAAAGGTGACAAAACTACAACAAAGTCCCCATGTCTTTATTTATTTTCCCCTTGAGTGAAATAATGCTTTTTGTATTACCTGAGGGCCAGTGCAGTTTGCAACCTTTAAACACAAACACTCAAATGTTTAAATCCAAATTGTAGCAGAATATCTTACAGAAGTTACTGTGTTTTCTTTGTGTTAAAACTTTTGATAATTTCCTATGGAACAAAGAACAATTTAAGGGATTAAACTAATAATAAAAAGCATATAGTCTAGTCACATCCATGACCTCGAGTCAATTAAAAATGCTGCAGCATTAAAGCAAGCCAACCATGCAGAGTTTTCCAATATTACCAATTAAACTCTAAACTTGTACGTAAAATAAATAATTGACCAGAAAAGCTTTGTTTTCCTCTGCAGGCTAGAATAAAGGCACCAGAAAACACGTCAATAAAAACCCTTTTTTAATAACCATAACTTGAAGGTTGAATTTCTACGCTATAACCTCTGAGACGTGATTCCATAAGCAGAAAATATTTACCATTGTCTCTGTGCAAAACACAAAGCTGCTGCTCTGCCTGCTTGTAATTTGCACAAACTGTACGTACTGCTGCGTTATTCTGAATCCCCGAGGATACAACTCGTCTTTCATGAAGATGCTTGTGTGTGTTTTTTGTCCAGCTTTAACAAATGTGAAGCTGTGGGCCATCGACCGACAATGCTTTCAGACGATCATGATGAGGACGGGGCTCATTAAGCACACGGAGTACATGGAGTTTCTGAAAAGGTGAGAAAGCACGCTGTATTGTCTCATCGAGACAGGCAAAAAGCCTGAATAGGTCTTTGATCTGAAATGCAGTGAATGAATTAACAGAATGAATTCAGATGATATGCAAACTTTTTCTTGGAAGGTTTTGAAATCGTTCTTTTCAGCAATAAGTTAGATGGCACCTGCTACAGATGGCGTCATTCATCTTTGCATTGAACTTTAATGCCTTTATCTGTATAAAAGTGGACAAAGCAATAACCACTTCTTTTTTACAAGAGCATATTATCATTTAAAAGGCATCCAGACACGTTTTCATGCCGCATAGAGTACAGGATAAAAGAAAACACATCAAAAGACTGAAGGGGGACTTGCAATTACATCGTGAATCTCTTTACCAGCTATGTCTTTTCAGCTCTTATCCACTTTGGTCTTCAGGCCAATTACAGAAATTATGTAATCCTTTCCTTATGTTACATGCAGGACTCTATATTCTCCGAACTTCATACTTGACTTTGCTTCAACTCAGCTATGCACTGTACTGTGCAGAATTTATTTTCCAAATTCAAAAGTAAAGCTCCTGACATTTGAGTTATTCTTAATATATATATATATATATATATTTAATTTTTGAACCGAATCTTAAAATTTCCCTTGATTCTGATTAGGTGGTTGCTGATCCATATGCTGAGGCCCCTGATTGTTAAATAAGATATTGTGAATGTTTTTGTACAGTGCTCTGAGACAACATTTGTTGTGAGTTGATGCGAGTTAAATAAACTGATTTAATTGAAAGTGACTGACATAACTGACTTTAGATCACAGGTTTCCAATATGGACAAAAAAGTTACGATTTTAGCATTGTTTAATTATCTATTTATTATCTACAGAAATTCTGTTTTTTTTCCTCATGTGCAATAATTCCATTAAGGAGACAGTTGTATTATTTAAATGGTAGTTCTATCACAGTCCCCATAGAAATAATACAAGTGGTTATGTGAAGCACTTAGAAGTAACTGCAGGGCTCAGAGGTCTCTTAAGGCTCCAGTACACTCGCGCAGACCTTTATCCGTGCGGACTCGACACACACTGTCCGCAGACGGTTGAGACTTCGTACTCGAACGTCCACCCTGAGCGGCTGCAGTCAGCTCCGCAGACAAGGAGCGTTTACCTTCGAGACAAACTGAGGTCGCCGATTGGTCATTGGCTGACACGCCTTCTGGATTGATTGACAGGTTGCATAAAAACCACATAAGAAAACGAGAGCTGGCAGCCCAGCAGCAGCGGTGTTCTGTACCACCATGCCGTCCACTTAAAACACAATATAAGACAAAATGTCTAGTTTTAAGATGATACAGGTTATTATCCTTCAGAGACAATAGGAAACTATCTCATATTTCACGGCTAATTATAGTTTCCTTTAAACAAAAAGGGTTTTATCTTAATATATCTTTACTGCTAAGGGGACAATTATTATTCACTCAGTCTCAACCAATTAGTTGCTAAAGTCTCATTACAGCAGTCTGTGCCATGTTTAGACACTTTGATCATAAAGCCTAAATCTTAAGACGTGCAGTATAAATACATAGTTTTAATTTGTTAATATTTTATGCATATAGGAAAAGTAAACTTTTAATACACTGGGACTGGAAAAAATGTCAAAACTTTTCTTTCTTTTTTTATTTTACTTATCACGTAAAAAATAAGTTTATAAAGTGAAGCTCTCCTGGTGCAGTTCTTACATAACAGTCCAGAGAGATAAGTAAATATTTAATAGACGTTCTCTGCGTGTTTGGTTTATAAAGGGGTGTCTAGGGGGAAATCAGAGATTAATGGTAGCATTTGTTAATAAGCACATAATTATATTCCCGTTGTGCTCCTCGGAAGAAGATCTAATAAAGAGCTTAGGTTTAAGCGGAGAACAAAGGCTCAGTGCTTCTCGTGAGCCTATCCCCACCCTTTAACTGCTGTGAGATTATATATTTGCTCTTATAATATGTGGAGGAGGAACACTCAGAATAAACACGGATCCCACATTGTATTACAAACAGCAGTTGAGCGTACTCTACAGCTTGTATTTCGAACCTCTCTAATGTATTGCATCAAGAAGAGTACGAGTAATGTTTATTGCATGAGCTTGTCTAGGTTCAGAATACACATATTTCTGTTCTGACGTGTTTAGTTGGGTACTCAACTCCCTGCCCACTCCCACTTTGAACAATAACGTAGCTAAAAGGCATAAAACAAAAAGCCCAGCAGATTTGTTGATGAGTTTATTTTTCTTCTTGAGTTTTCTTTCAGCTGTCTGCAAGATATAGTTTTTAAAACATGCCTTTTGCTTTGCACTAAGTCTTATAAATGTAATTTTCATTCAACCTGTATTTATACAGGTTAGTCTCATTGAGCCTTGATGACTTATTTACGAGACCTGATTTCAACAAAGAATGATAACAACAGTAGACAATCATAAAAGAAAGCATATAAATTGAAAAAATAAATGGAAGAAAATGAAATTTTACAAAATGAAACCGAAACAGCTACGTTATAAAGTGAAGTAGAAAACTAAAAACAGGAATATGTCTACATTGGTTTTTCACATGAACTTAGCAGATGTTTGAAGCCACTTAGAGAGGTCAAGGTCGAGAGCTTCAGATCTTTTTGTAAGATATTCCAGGAAACAGGAGCGGAGTAGGAGAAGGCTTTTTTGTCTAGTTCAGTCCGCACTGAGGGAACACTGCAGGTAATAATGTCCTGAGAGCGCACGCTGTAGCTGCACGCACACAGAGACATGTAGGAGGAGATGTATGAAGCCAACAGACCAAGAAGTGATTTAAAGATGAAAATGTACCAGTGAGAGAGTCTGTGTGAAGTTAATGATGACCAGTTTACCAGTGAATACAGAGTGAAGTGATAGGTACAATAATTACAGCCAGTTATGAATCTTAGTGCACCATGATAGACAGCATCCAACATCTGCAGGGTCCTTGTAGGAGTGTTCATGTAATTATGTCACCATAGCCAATGGAGGGAAGGAAAGTCGCAGTTACAAGGTGTTTCCTAGCATTCAGTTAGACCGGATTTATTTCTGAAAAAGAAACCCAATTTAACTTTCAGTTTCTTTACCAAGTTTTCCACGTGGAGCTTAAGAAAGAGTTGCGAATTGACCAAGATACCCAAATATTTATAGGAATTGACAAACTCAATAGAAACACCATTTGAGGATAAAATTGAAGGAGAAATTGCTGGGACCAACTTCCTGTTTGAAAACAACATCCCTTTGGTTTTGTCTGTGTTTAGTACAATTTTGAGAAGGAACAAATCAGAATGGAGGATATCAAAAGCAGACTGCAAAAGCTGGAAAGCAACTGTTTTAGCTCGACAGTAAACAACTGTATCAGCATAGAAATTTAATGATGCATCAGGGATGATCTGACCTACATTACCTAAGTAGATTTTGAACAGGGTGGGTCCTAAGACTGAGCCTTGTGGTACACCATTGTTAACAATTTAGATAACTGGAAAAAGTACCGTTATGTTGAACACATTGCCTCAGATCTGAGAGATAGTAGTAGAGCAGAGAGAAAGAGGGAAACTCAGAGGGAGAGATGATCAGAAGATAAGCCCTTTATTCATCTAGTTGGGTTATTTTCTCCTCCCCCCTCCCTTGATAAACATTAGACCAGGTTGTAATTGTATTAAATATTTTTAATAACAATTACATTTATAAAGCAACATTCATCCACTAGCATTTAATAACTACTCAACTGTAACACAGCTATAGTAAGCTGTTTGGTCAGACATGCACAACCTCAGAAGCTTATTGTTTGTGTTAGTAGCTTCACAGCTTCAGTGTTTGAAACTCTATAAATCACAGAGTGGGGTTGCCTGTTAATGGCCCGGCTTGTAATCTAGTGCCTCCATTCAGGAAGGAGCAGCATAAGGATCCAGACCCGAGGCCCAGGTCTGGAGGCTGAGACAAGATGGTTCAGATTACTGTAATAAAACATGGAAAATGAGCAGAGAGAGAAACTCAGAGGGGAGAGATGATCAGAAGATAAGCCCTTTATTCATCAAGACGGGTTATTTTCTCCCCCCCTCTTGATAAACATTAGACCAGTTTTTATTTAGTCCACTTGATAACAAGCAGATTGCATTCATTCAAGCTGCCTGGAAGCACCGGAACAAACATATTGGCCAGCCTCATATTGATGTATTCAATCATCACATCCGATGCTGTACACTTTAACGACACACGTTGCCAGGTTTGTTTTGAATTATTCATACATGCATACTGTAAGAGTGCAATACAGTCTAAAAAAGTATGTTCTGTGTTCCTGCTGAATATATTTATGTTGCTCACCTCAGATCACAAGCCAGATTTGTCACTGAGCAGCTGTTTCAAACTAAGCACTTGCAGCCATGTGGAAAAGTAAGCAGGCTGCATCTAAATGGAAATGTTTTCTTTATGTATTTGTGTGAATAAAAAAACGGAAGAAGGTGTTGCAAGATTAATCATTTAAGCTACACATCAGAGGCTAGTGACAGTGCTTTCAAAGATAACATCTTCAGTTAGTTTATTTAATAAACCATCTGTCATGCACAGAAAAAAAAAAGCTTTTCCATTAGATTGAGTTAGGGGCCTTTTACAACGCTCAAATTATTTTCAAATTAGTGATAAGTGGCAAAACAAACACAAAGCAGAGGCCTCGTAAAATGGAAATAGATGAAGACTGACGTGACGATGACTGAAAAGTTAATTCCATTCAAGTTAATGTGTAGGAACAAGCTTTTAACAAATGCCGGGATTGTTTGATTTAAAACATTAAAAATACTTTCTTTTTTAATCAGATTGTTAAAAAAATCAATAGTGTATCTACTACTGTTGCATACAAATATATGACACAGGAAGGAGGTAGATTACTTGATCAACGTGGATCTATTTCTCAAGTAAGATATGAAAAAGATACAATTTTCATTTATGTAAAAAGTGAGTGGACGTGTCATTCTAAAAAGTTATTTTAGTTAAAAAAAATTAAATTAAATTAAAAAAAAGTCCAGTTCTTGTCTACTGATGATCTGAATTTTTGCTCTATCGTTTGAAGAGAGAATATTTTCCTGGCAGAGAGCTCCAGTGTAGGCTGTTTGATCGGTCACCTTTTGATTGCAGATTTTTGAGCTTTGATACAAACAGTTACCATGGTTACCTGCAGTTTTACGGTTGAATAAAATTTCTAGATCTTGAAGACCTTTTTTTACACCAAACTATATGACCCTGGGCAAAAATTGCTCGACGTACAAAATAACGTAGCAGTTGCTTGAAATACTGCTTATATATACACGGTCACCATCTAACTCTGTGCGCCTCAGTAAGCTATTTAGCTCCTGCCTCACACTGTCATAGAAAGAAAAAAAAAAAAACGGATTCTGGATGTCTGAAGATTAAATCCACTTGGGTCAAGCTGTCAAGGAGATTTTAATCACTAGATCGATTCATATCACAAACACAAAAGACTCTGTCTGTATTATCTAAGAGCCTATCCACCAGTCGGTTTAAAAACTGCTTTTTTCTTTCTCCTGCAGTGTCCCCACATTTCATGACCTACAGGAGGATATCCTGAGCAAGCTTGCTGATGTCCTTGAGGAGGTATGAGCCTTGTTTTATGTGGTTTCTGCTGCAGAGTACACCACATGCACTAAAAGATTTCCAAAATTACTCTTTCTGTTGCACTTAGTCACATTTAGAAGGGAAGTAAAAAGATATTCCAGATAATGTTTGCCTGATGAAGGCAGCTGGAGAATCAAACAGTCACCTTTGTTGGAATAACAGAGCAGTTGTTGCGTTTAGTATGTGCTGAGTGGTGATGTTGAAGTGAATTGCCCACTTATTAAGAGACAGCAATATATTTCAAACCTGATGAGGAATTCTGCACACTGCAGCCAAAAGCCAGTTCAGCTCGTCAGCAATCAAACTAAACATCTGAGTCACATTGTTATGCATTTTATTAAATGTTGTAATTTTGTACCAGTATTATGTAAATGTTACTATAGTAATCTGCTTTTAATACCAGCAAGAAAAAAAATAACTCCAGAAATAACATTTTATATACTTTTTTCTTGTTCCTCTGGTTTTAACTTGTAAATATGTCGACCCACTTTTTAAATGGTTTAAACCAATAAAATTAAAAGATTCCATCATTTTGTATTGGAATGCACTTTATATATAAATAAATCGGTTTGAAAAGTTTGTGCTGTATTTTATTACGACAATGGAACAGAAAAGATAAATTAGAAAGAACTCGCACAACATTAATTAGCTACAAACCAAATACCTGCCTGGAGGAACAAAGATAAAGACACGACAATGTGTTCAAAATAAATGACGGTTTAACTGATTTTTTTTTTTTTATTGAATTATAAAACAGATAATTAAAAACATCACTGTTTTTATTGATGGCTACAACTTTCATATACCATTTTTGTAATCGTATCATCATTTCTCACCACCTAGACCAGTTTAATGGATATTTTCTACTATTTTTATTTGTTAAACGACTCATAGGGTCAATAACTTTTCTTATTAACATGTAAATCAAGCACATAAAACTGTTGGTACATAATTTAAAAAGTGCCTTTTCGAAACTAATAAATGTGTTTAACAATGAACACAAAACAGAAATGAGTACTGGGTTTCAGCACTGATAGAATCACAAAATCTTTTTTTTTTTTTTTCCACATTCACTTAAGTCACCAATTGCTTGTCAATACGGACATAAAAACATTCCATGAACTATTCTTGTTGTTGAAACAATCACAAATTTAATTTAATGTTATTTGTTCATCACTATTTTGTTTAATTTATTTACATTTTAAGTTAATTGAAGGGGATAGATTTTAACTTTTGACATGAACAGTTTGTGAGGGTCGCAGGCCACCTGCGGCCTCTAGGACTCGACGGCATGTTGGAGACAACCTTGAAGTAGGCTCATAGCACTGATCAGTAGAATGCCCACAAATCTGGCCATTTTGGATCGAAAGTACCAGCAGGACTGAAAAACACAGTCTGCCTGAAGAAAGCAACAGTTGTAGCTTATCTGAATCTGACTCCCCCGTTTGGCCTCGAAAGCAGGCCGACTATCAAATTTCTCCTGGGACATGGGTAAACTAAGAAAAAAGCTTTGTCTATCGCCCCCCCGAGAGCTTCTGTGCAAGCTTATCAGAACTGCCGACTGACCAATAACTTATCAGGACTATGGCCTATCTGGAAGTGCTTCATGGACAAATCTAACCGTCTTGCCGTCAAATGCGTATGTAATGAGTTTATAAATGTGCTCGCTGGTAGAGTTTTTTGATAGGATAAGATGTGAAGAGATCTTTTTGTAATACCACTATCCATCCTCATGACTTTTCCCTTTTTCTATTTATCTAAAAAGTATTCTGATAAAGAATAAGAGGCCATGCTCCTGTAGCAGCAGCAACGTGCACTCCGCCCATCTTTTGGACGACTGTACGAACATAATCTCGCTGTATCTCGGTACAATGATAATAAAGTTTATTCGGATTCTGATTCGGAACAAGTTTTGAAATGTGCATCTCTATCTCTGTGCTCGCTCTTATTTGTACTGTTTGTCATTAAATATGCTTTTTTGAATTTGAAAATTAAATTTTTTAATGTTTCAAAATCTTTATTTTTGAGTTACCCAAAACAAGCTCGATTATACTTTAAGCTCAAGTCTTAGTAGCACCTGTGTAAACTTTCTCTTTCTTTAAAGTTCTACAAGAATTAAGAAAACAAGGTCATCCATCATCGCAACAAAATCAAACTTCTGTATGTGACAACAGCCTACGGTTACTAGGCCAGAGGGGTAACAGTTCAATCTGACAGAGGCAGAACACACACACACACACACACAAAATAAACTCTTCCATCCTAATTCCCTTGTACAAGAAAATAGAAATAGTTTGGCAACAAAGTGTACTTCAAACTCTCAATTTATCTTTGCCTACATTCAAAAGATAATATCAATAGTAGAAAATCGGATGCATTATTTGTAATATTTGATTTCAACCACTCAGGGTTTCTCTTCTTCTGAAAAAAAAGAAAAAGAAACCTCACTAGGTTCTAATTAGTCTGAGCAGATATTTTGCATTTTGTGCCACATAATGGTTAACGTCAGTGATAATCCATCAGGTTAGTGTGTAATTGGTGTTTTAATAGTCTGTGAATGATTTTTAATGAGTTAGACTGATCATTTTTCCTGACCTTGGAAATATAATGAAGCAGCACGGTTTATAGTTTAAACTGAACGTCACTTTTGCTTAGAACTTGTGCTTTTAATAAAGTACAGCATCCCTGCAACAAATAGTGGGAAAAACAAACACGTGATGCGTGATCATCTAGTTTATGATCCAACAGGAGGTACTGAGGCCAGACTCGATCTCTGAGGTGAAGCTTTTCTCAAACAGAAAACAAAACCTGAAGCACAACAGTAGTTAACGAACCCCATGGAAGCTTTTCTAGAACTCCTCATGCTCCCTCTGCACCAGTCAAAATATACATTTATATTGAGTTCTCACCACAGTGCAGAGGTGTTTTTCACACTTTATTAAAAAAATGCCATATCTTACATATTACTTCACTTTACCCCACAAAAATCTGACCCTTGAGCCAGTGCAGTTTTACCCAGCAGTGGAAGTTCTTATCAACACAAGACATAAATGCTAGGGCAAAAAAAAAAAGTATTTTATTATCTATGTGGGTGTCGGTAAACTGAGTTATGTTCTGTCACCTACAGGCCCTTAGTAAGATTATAGAAGGTGCAGAAAAAGGACCGGTGGATGGAAATCCTTGTTTTTCATATTTGGATCAGAGCTGTGATTTTACAACTCACATGAGATGCAACACCATTCTCTTATTCATAGTCGAGGTTATAAAGTGTATTGAAGCAAACAGTTTATGGAAGGCAGCAAAACACCTTGCCACTCTGGGGGTTCAAAACCAAGTGTTATAAAGATTTAACACCAGTGATGTATGCCACTGCACATACTTAAAATTTACTTTATTGTAAAAATGCTATCAAGATGTGAAATGTAAAAGTACACTGAGCCTGAATAACGCCTCTCTTCTCTGATCTTCTGTGTTTTCTCCCCTTGTGACAGACACATTATGAAGCTGGAGAGTACATCATCAGACAGGGGGCCAGAGGAGACACCTTCTTCATTATCAGTAAGGGGAAGGTGAGGACATGCCTGCCAGGCCATACACCCCCAAATCATTCTCATCACAAGGCAGGGCAGAGTGGCATACACACAACAAACGATGCCAATCTGTGATGCAAAGGGGTGGAATTTCTGGATGAAAGTTTGCTGTCATCAATCACATGGAGATAGACTGACAGGCAAAAGTGCTGCCTCTTTCATCATCCCTTTTAACAGCAATGGGAGTATCTAGAAAGGGGAATGGAGTCACTTTGATTTTCTTTTTCAGTAATCAACACTGGCTTTCACACTGAACACAGTCCTTGTAGCCCTAATGCTGTTTGGGCAGGGGGGGGGGGGCTTTTGCACACTAATATTGTGATGCCAAGGTGCCTGTCTTCTTCATTTATTTAGCCCAGATTACGCAGATTCACATCCGGTCATATTTGTTCTCCATCATTTAATGCTCCTTATTTCTGATGCATTCATCAACGTCACTGTTAAAAGCCCAACTATCAAAAAGATGAAGTTATATGATGTTTTACTATACAAATGTAAAACATTCAGACACAGTACATTTCCTGTTCTTTTTTTAATCTCTCCTTTAATGCAAAACAGATGTAATGCAAATCATCACATGGTGCACTGCTGACAGGTGATGGAACTGGATCCAGACACACTAATCCACTCCAGTTTTGACCAGTGTTTTCTGCTTTCGGCTGTTTCTATGTTTAAATAACTTTCTGTCAGATTTGTGTGTTACATAGTTTGCCTTTGGCTTTTCTTTGCTATTACATCGTGGTACTATCAGGTATAATCCCGCTGTCACTCTGGTGTACATGGCATTCAGTTATATGGAAAACAGGAACCTGCACTAGTTGAATATGTCATCTCTGCACAGATTCTGAACAATTTACTCAAGTGCTGCTCCTTCAATTTGTAAAGTATTTTAGCACAGCAGAGTACCAGTATTGTTTACACAAAGTATAATTTATTCTTTCTTAATAAAGACAACACACGTCACTCGTGTTTTTTTTTTGTTATTGTAGATAGCTTGGAATTTGTAGCAATGAATTACGAGTAAACCAAATGTGCTTTTATATATTTTTGCCCTGGTGCACATTTTTCCATCTTCAGTTTGGTCTCATCATCTTCATGCTTCACTAAGCCTCAGTTCTCCTCCTGCACTGCTCCTTGTTTTGGCAGGTTAATGTGACCAGAGAAGACTTGCCCAACGGAGAGCCCGTCTACCTCCGCAGCCTCGGGAAAGGAGACTGGTTTGGAGAGAAAGCATTACAAGGGTAACATAATCTTGCCTCCTTCTCTTTAAATCCTCAGTTTCTTGGTTTTGTTTGTTTGTTTGTTTGTTTTTTCAGAGCTTATTTTCACTCATTTGCACACCACTCACCCTAGCATCAGAATCCACTTTATAGGCCTTGAAGTAAGTCATTCTAACAACAATTATGCTATGTACAGTACACAGTAGTTACTAGTAAGATTAAGGTTGAGAAAAAATGTTGTAGTAGGCTAATTTGCTAAATTAAAAGACATGGTGTGATATATAGTTAACACTGAATTTATTATTCTGGGACTGTCAGGCTGGATAAATAATAATGTTCAGTGGACTGTTTTGTTTGGTTCTGGTTCAAACCACTGAAATAGCAGTCTAAAGTTAGATGAATGTCCAATGTGTGAGGTGTTGACTTGGTGAGCAAGTCTCGGTGGGAGGGCTTTCTAATAATTTTCCCATTCATTCTTATAATTTACTGCAGTGTGTTTCTGTCTTGTTTTGTTCCTGCGCCAAATCCGACTGTGGTTGATGCATGCAGAACAGATTATGTGACTGCACTGTATACATGTAATGACAACTCGTGTGAGGGACCATCTTCCTTCAGATGCTACTGAAAGTATATCCTGTTCTGGGTTTCAGTAGGAATGGAGTTGATATTTGATTTGAGAAAACAATGTTCACAGAAACCTGATGGTGGCCACAGCTGACTTGGAGATGCTGGATCTTATCTGTGGCCAGAGGATGGATGGCTGTCTTTAAGTCTTCTATCGTTCTTGCAGTCAGACTCCAGGTTGTTTTAACTGCACCAAAGCACTGACTGCTAATTCTTCCATGGTTAGTTATTTCCATCATAGAAAAATCTGCTGTCTATTGTCTTGTCTGCAAATTTTAGATGTTTGACAACTGGATCCATCAACTTGTAGTTACAAATATATGGGCGGAAGTGAGATGAAAAATGAACACACTCCAGTAGAGCACCAAAGCTGACTAACAGTGTAGAAAAGATCTTTCCTCAACCCCAATCCAACGTTCCCTACCAACAAAGCATCTAGTGATCCATTGACAGATATCAGGAAAGATGATGAACTAAGACAGTATGGATAAGACTATAGGAATCATGTTAACAAGGTTCTTGCACAAGTCCCTGTACAAATATACTGTATGTTTTCAGCTTGTATTGACTGATTCATGCAATAACCATTTTCCCTGCAAACAAACTGCCAAGTATCCATTAGCTGTCCTGTGATGCTCTTTAGGTTGGCCAATACTAATTACCCTTCATGACCACAAAGTGACAAGCTTGTAGTCATTCATTCTAGGGATGGATGGATTTTTGGAAACCAGAATAATAGCCAAATGTATGAATTAGGATGTGACATCTTCTTCTTTCAGCTTTTCCCTCTACAGGGTTTGCCACTGAAAGTGATCCTTCTCCATCTCACTTTGTCCTCTGCATCCTCTGTCCTCACTCCAACTATCTTCATGTCATCTCTAACTGCATCCATATATATCTTCTTTGGCTTTGTGTCTTTTTTCCTGGCAGCTGCATTTCTAACATCCTTCTACCAGTATACCCACTGTCCCTCCTCTTGACATGTCCAAACCATCTCAGTCTGGTCTCTCTAACTTTATCTCCCAGTTGTTCAACCTGTGCTGTACCTCTGATGATCTCATTCCTAATCTTGTCCATTCTTGTCACTCCTAAGGAGAACCTCAACAACTTCATTTCTATTACTTTCAGTTCTATTTCTTGTCTTTTTGTCAATGTCTCTGTCTTCAGACCATACAATATAGCTGGTCTCACCACTGTCTTGTAAACTTTTCCTTTGAACTGTGCTGACACCCTTTTGTCACAAATCACTCCAGAAACTTTTCTCCATCCACTCCATCCTGCCTGGACTCTCTTTTTCACCTCTTTACTACACTCCCCATTTTCCTGGACAGTGGACCCCAAATACTTCAAGTCCTGCACCTTTGTGACCTCTGCTCCTTGTAGCCTCACTGTCCCACCGGCCTCCCTCTCATTTACACACATGTACTCTGTCTGACTACGGCTGACTTCCATTTCACTTCTTTCAAATGCAAATCAGGATGGGACATCACACATCATTAAATATTTGTTTAAAATCTGTGTTAAGAATTGAGTCAGCTTGCCTGCAGTTTTACATACAGGAGGGGTCTTTTCTGTTTGTTTAGCCCCCCCACCCCCCACCCCCCACCCCCCACTCCCACCCCAACAACAACAACAACAAAAAAGACCTGACTTACCCTTCTTCAGTTGGCATCAATGTTGAATGATTGTCAAGCAGTGATGGTCGCACCAGAGGTGCGATGGGAACTCCAACTGTTGATTCAGGGAGGATGAGGGTTGTGAATGTTTTAACATACATCTTTTAGATGTACTAATATACTATCAGTAGAGCCCATGCAGTAACATCAAGTCTGTTTATTTTGCTATGATGGATGGCAGATTGTACAGCTATGTGCATTTAGCATGGCTTTAGTTTACAAAATTGGTAATTTAGACATTATTGTCAGACAAAGACTAGGGAGACCATTGCACTGCACTAGAAAATGAAGACTGCAACGTACTCCACAAAAACAACAAGTTAGTTATTCCGTCCAAGCACTGTGCGAAAAGAATGACACCATTTTTTTTTCTTGCAGTCCTGGTTTGGGAGTTCTTGCAGCTTGTTCTTGACACGTCATTAAGGCAGATTTTTTTTGTCTTGTAGTGTCTGACAACTATTGTGTGGTTGGTCTAAAATTCAAAGTAGGTGCGTCTAATGCGGACAAGAACTGTTGGCATTTTCACTATGAAGGCTTCTTGGGAGTTCTGCAGTCGTGTTTCTCGTGAAATGTGAAATTTCCTGCTAAGTTCAAATTTTATTCTTGTTCTTGGCATCTGAAGAAAACAAAACAAGGCAAAAGCAATATCCTGATGCATGCTCAATAATCCAGGTAGAGAAATCCAAAAAAGTTCAATCTGGTCCTCTGGACATTCAAAAAAAACAAAAACAAACAGGGGTGGAGGCCTCCGGGTTCAATTGTCCCCCTCTTACAATGCTGTGATTGCTAGTATCACTCAGCCCTCTGTGAGTAGTAAACAGCCATCAGTGTGCTAATGATCCATTGTTAGGCTGATGGTCCTTCTTGAGCATGTGATCAGTTGGTTTTGGTTGTCAGCAGCAAACTGGTTGATCCACCCTGAGAAGGTGCTATTTAAGAGACTGAGCTGAAAACAGCACCTCAGACTGAGGAAGTCTCTTGGATGAGAGACGAAACGTTTCTAGATTTTTTTGCTTTGTTTTGTTTTTGTTTTTTTTGAATGTCCAGAGGACCAGATTGAACTTTTTTGGAAGGCAAAAGCAAATTTCCTTGGTTTGTTCTGAGTATGCAACTATTTTGAGTTCTGAGGTTTGAGTGCAGACTACGAGTCACTGACAGATGTGCTCGACACCATGCCTCCAAATGGGTCTTGTTGTCATACCTCTTTGAGCAGAATGTCAGGCAGGATGCCAGACACAGACTAGAGTCTGATATGGGCAAAAGAATGACCCACTGATAGGGGACTGAGAGACTTGTTTCCCAGTTGGTGGGAGGGTGCATCCCAGATGGGAGTCCACAGGATAGTGATAGACAAAAAGGTGAACTGAAACTCAAGATCATACCAAAAGCCTTGTTTCTACATATATATTTAAATTGTTAGGTTTTGTTTATCATCTTCTTAAAGTTCCAGCAGAGCTCCATCAGAGCCAGCCTGAGGACCTCACTAAAATATTGAGTTAATACTTTGTAGTAGAGATGTACCACTGTTTTATTTTTACCCTCTGTTCTTTTAACCTAAAGGATAAACATCAGTTGAGGGATTCTCTGACATCGACTGTACAGGTTGTAAAGGTGTCCAGCCTTTACCAGTGTTTTTATGCTACAACTCACTTCTATAACCCACTGTGATAAATGGTAAATGGACTGCACTTTATAGCACCTTTCTATCTTATCAAGACACTCAAAGTGCTTTACACTACAATCTGTGTCCTCATTTACCCATTCATACAGGACTCTAGATCTCTACAAAGCTAATTGAACAACTCATTCTAAAGAGACTAATCAGAGCTTTATCACATTCATACACCAATGGGACACACATCGGAGGCAATGAAGGGTTCAGTGTCTTGCCCAAGGACACTTCGGCATGTGACTGCTGGTGAATTTAAACCCCCAACTCTTACATCGGAGGACGACTGCTCTAACCACTCAGCCACAATAATAATAACTTTCTAATTTTTATATCTGTTCATTGCTACACAAGTACTTGTGACATTCTGGGCTATTTTCTTTTAAATACATATTTAATTTTATTCAGGTTCCACAAATGTAACTACAATTAAACAGTATATATTTTTTTTACTTATGGTGTAAAATAGAGGTTTATAACAAGTCCACCTTTAAAAAAAAGTTTTATCTTAAAAATACAAATAATCTTTTAGCATTAAGTCTGTAATACTGCTAGATTTTAATCTGCTCTAAAATATTTCTTATGCAAGTCCAAAGTCATTGAAAGACTTTCAGTAAAAAAGAGGTTCACTCTGCTGATCAAAGCACAATTTATTATTTTTTTATTTCCTTTCTTGGGAAACATCTCAAAACTGTCTTTAAAAGAATAAATCACTTCTTTTTTATTTTATTGTATTTATCTAAAATTTGTTAAAACAGGTTTTAAACAATTTCTTTTGAGAACTTTTTTTTTAATAACGACTGGTTATGTAATCATAAATCAGTCTACTTGTATACCGTTTTCCTTCTTCTTTCGACTGCTCTCTTCTTCTCATATGAAGACTTGACAGTTGTTTTTAAGCCAGATGTCCTTCCTGACACAACCACAGACCATCGAGCTACCGCAGCCCTCTGTGTGGAGCAGAGAGCTGCCATCTAGGGCATTTGGGGGCATAGATGGTGGGGGTTAAGGACCTTGCTCAAGAGCACAGAGTGGGGCAAATGAGAGTGCAG